TTTTTGTTAACCTAACCTAACCTAACCTAAAATTCTCATGGATAAACTATTTGTACCATGCGAGATTCGAACTCGCTATCGAAAGGAAAGCGCAGTGCTACGCCGCTAAAACATCGAATTCTTTATTAATTATGATCGAAATTGGTTCACTAAACATTCCAAAATCACTGATTTTTATTACCTCGATCTTAAAACAAATAATAGAAAGTAGCTCAAAATAAAAGAAGGAAACAATGCTATTTAAAATATTTGGATATAGTAAATAAAATAGTCATTGTCAATGCACAATTTAAAAATACAAGTCATTAAGAACGGTTTATATTTTATACTAGCTGTATCCGCGACTTCGCCTGCGTGGAATTTAACTTTATTTTTCCTACATAAAAGTAGCCTAAATTACTCCTTATTACATCATCTACCTGCTAATAAAAGTCCCGTTAAAATCAGTCCAGCCATTTTAGAGATTAGCCGGAACAAACAAATAGACAGATAAAAATTGTAAAAAAAAAAAAATTTTGGTGTGTACATACACGCCGTATTTATGTTCATAAGCACGTAGTAAAAAACAGTTATTTCAATATTACAAACAGATACTCCAATTTTATTTATATGTATAGATGGGTTTTAGTTTTTAGTATAAAAAAAGATACTGAACCCAAAATGTGGGCATCTTCAATGATATTTATTACCAACAATTATAAAGAGACAAAAAGTAACATATGCACAAAATCATATATACACAGCTGTTGATATGTTAACAAATATGATTCCTTTTGTTATAACACAATATAAAATACATGAAATTCTTTGCGGGATATCATTAAGTACAAAAACTTATATTCACAATGAAGTACCTCTTTGGTAAGTTCGAATAAGATCTATTTTGTGATAATCAATGGGTAAAACAGTAAATGGTTTGAATTTTTTTTTCTACTGCTGTTTTATCTAAACAATTACTGGGTATTAAGCGAGACGTTTAATGCTTTCTTTGAAGATAATTGATAGTATACGTTCGTTCTACGAACGTATTTCTAGAGAAGAAATATCTTCACGCCTTTTTTTTAAATCTTTTCTAATGTTATAATAAATTTTGCATGCCAGTTTCTGTTGAAAAGTGTGTTACTAAAATTATATAATTTTTACATCCTGTAAAGCACTTTTCAGGCATAATAAAGATATTTGTATTTGTAATAAGAGTATATACTTCAAAATTGAAAACTAAACTTTGTATTCACACACTTCAAAATGTAAAGCTTTCCGAACGAGCAGTAGATTAAATAAAGACTATTCAAAAGTGCTTCAATATAAGTTTATTTGAATAATTGATTTTCTATTCTATTCTTTTCTAAAGAGTAAGAAATAAATAAGTTAGATACAAAAATTTTAATGTTGAAAGATCGTGTCCCACCTTCCCGTTTTTATAACAAATGTTAATTTTTTAGGGTTCAAATTCAGTTTACAGCTATACTATTTTCTTTTTATATTAGATTTATATTTTTACATTTAGCCAGCGTTATTTCACTAAAAACTAATATATATATTGTAATAAATTATTGTAAGTAATTTATTATGATTATGTTTTATTTTTAGTTATTGAATATTAAAGACAAACAATATTAAGTTATATATTATGACTTTTATTACTATGTTATATATTATTTAATTTATTATTCTGAATATTTAAAATTGTAATTGTGACATAATTATCTTGAAAATGTAATTACTACTGACATGCTGTTGTGTAACGAGATTTGTTACATTTGTGAATAAAGTAATATGAAATATGAAATATTAATCTACTCTCAATTTGACCACAAACAAAACAATAAACAAAAGACGCATAATTTGAAACAAGTATTAGCATTCTAAACTCCTTCTCTATATAAAGTATAAGTGTGCGAAATTTGAGAGCCCTCCGTCCGCATAATTTTCTTAAAAAGAAGTAGAAAGTTTCGTGTATTAATATGTAGATGAAAAAACTGAATCCCAATTTCGATTAGTCACGGCACCACGCGTGAATTGTACTCTGAAATACATAATATACATAGAAAACACCCAGATCAATACAAACTATCATACTCATGAATATAAATGTTTGTACCGTCGAGGAATTGAACCCGCAATCATCGGAATTAAGGTGAACCGCTATACCACCGAGGGAGTAATGTATGTTGATTTTGCAGTAATCATGTTTCTGTTGGCGCTGGTGATGCTGGCATCTGCTGGTAGTGATGATAATACAATATGTACCACTGAGTATAAGCCCGTCTGTGGCATAAATGGTAAAACATATGGAAATTTATGCGAGTGAGTATAGAATGACTATGGTAACAGTAGACTTAACATATATATATTAGATCTTATGCGAACTTGTTCAACATGATGCCTCGGTCACCTTTCACAAACGCACCGCTCGCCATCGACAGGTAATTCATTCCCACACGCTGGAACCTAAGAGGTCTCAGTCAATACGGTTTCAGAGGAGCTTCCTCCCGCGTACACTTAGATTGTGGAATGAACTACCTGCCGAGGTTTTCTCACTAGACTAAAGCATGAGGTTTTTCAAGAAGGGTATTTTAATGTTTCTTAAGGGTCGGCAATGCGCACGTGACACCCCTGGTGTTTCAGTCGTCCATAGGCAATGGTAACCATTTACCATCAGATGGGCCGTATGCTTGTTTGCCACCATAGTAGTATAAACAAAAATCTGTGACCTTGACCAAAGTAAAGAAAAAATATTGAATATATAATCTAATAAAATACAATAACCTATAACCTCTCCGCAAACAAAAAATACGAGTGCATGTCTTTTCTCAAGGTCTAGATTATCTGTATACCAATTTTCATTTAAATAGGTTCAGTATTTTATAATAATAATCTCAGGACAATTCACACAGCGCCATCTAGACCCAAGTTAAGCTAGCTAAAGCTTGTGTTATGGGTCCTAGACAACTGATACAAATACATAGATAATTATTTTTTTTTCGTAAATACATACATATTATACATAGAAAATACCCAGACCGATACAAACAATCATACTCATGAATACAAATGTTTGTGCCGTGCGAGGAATCGAACCCGCGACCATCGGTCGTAAAGCGGTAGACTAGACCGCTAGACCACCGAGGTCGTCGACGCGTTGGCGTGAACGCGCGATAGATAGACAGACAGAACTTTCTATTTATAACATTAGTAAGGATATAGTGATAAAGAAGCTGTTTAGAATGATAATATAATAATGAGTAGATAAAGCGTGCAGGGTATAGTGGAAGATGATGGGATGAGCATAGGGGCAGATCAGTTAGCGAATTCACCAGGAATGAACCGTTTCCCTTTGGAGCCTCACGTGATATTAAAGGACAGCCTCTTTTTGCTTGACTACTCTTTCTAATCCTGTATACACATTTCTGTTTAATAATTATATTAGAACACAACTAATAATTTGTTTTTTACAGGCTGAATAACGCTGGCGTTCCTCTGGCACATGATGGCCCGTGTTGAAACTGCACTTCGGCAACTGATGGTAGAATATGTCACTACATAATAAGAATACGTAATAGATTATTATTAATAAAATAATACAGAATGTTGTTTTAATAAACACCGCTTATTTTAATTGGAATGGTAATGTAATTTGTGAGTGGTAAAGCAGGGCACGCTGCAGGGTCACACGTGGTCTTCTGCACGAATAGCCACTCTAGCACGTTACCACCACACCTCTTTAGAATTCCGACGTCCATCCACCCATCCTCCTTCCTCTTTTCCTTTTCTATCGTAATTCCTTCCTCTACTCACTTCATAAATGAGCGGCAGCTCATTTATAATTCCCCTAGTATTGCTATGCTTATGGATTTTGGTATTTATTGACCATCAAATGTAGTGAGTTGAGTTTCCTGATGCGTATCCTCCTTGGTCTAACTCCTTCCTCTATCAACTTCTTAAAAAGGTGACAATTCATTTATTTTTAATACCCCTTCCTCCTATACTTACCGCGGTATTTATTTACCATCAGATATGGTGAGTGACTCACGGAACAGGAAATACGGAAGGAATAAGAAAACTAGTTACGGACTATATATATATCCGGAATATACTGACTATGCTTCTTCCTTTTATTACTTTCGTATTTCCTTCCCCTACCCACTTAGTAAAAGGCCAGCAACTCAATAGCAATTGCCGTGGTGCTGCGCATGAACGACGGTATTATATATAGTAGATAGTACCTTAAACCCTCTAGGGTTTAAGGTACTATCTACTTTTAATGCATACAATATAAAAAAAAATTGACTTTTTTTCGGTTGACTACCCATTCACACTTAGTGAAAAAAGATAACAAATATTCTCAGACCTATCTCCGTTTAGGAGAAGTATGGAAACTAACACTTTTATATATTTATTTATTAAATTCCTACATGGACATGCATTCATAATAGAAATAATCATAATTCAAATAAATATAATATAGGCATTTATGAATAGACTCAATTGGGTTGCTGACCCATCACAAGAAGAATGAGCAAGAAACTTGTGTGTTATTCTTTTAAATAATGTTGTAGTTAATACACGTTAACAAGGATTAGGCATGCTATAATCAACATAGAAACCGCTATGCACTTAATCTTTGTGCAATCTGACAATCAATACACTTCTTAAGTGTAATTCTTGACTTGGTTCCTGTGGTTCAGTTTTATAAGGACTCCACCTGACAGTGGTTTAATGTTCTGTTTATGACAAACCTTGCGTACAATATTCATACATCTCTTATACTAATGTTATTGAAAGAAAGTAATTTTTATATAAAACATATACGCCCTTGAAAGCTAAAAGTTAAAAAACATATTAATTAAATAATACATTTAAAAACATAAGAGAATATTTTATTGTATGAATTATTGAAACTGGTAAATTAAATAAAAAACAACGTGCACACAATAATGATATAGGCACAGGTGATAAAAAGACGAATAAAACACCAATTCTATTGTCAGGTTGCAATATAAAAAGACACGTTCAAATGTATTAAAAATTAGTGAGAGATTGTTGTATACACCATGAAGTATATATACGGTGAGTTTGATAATAAATACTGTATTTATTAAAATGAAATATTGCCTAATAGCACATTACTTTATTGCACCAAAATTGAAAAGACATGAACAAAATCTTTTATATAAAATTCTCGTGTTACAATGTTAGTTACCATACTCCTCCAAAACAGCTTGACCAATTTTTATGAAATTTTATATGCATATTCAGTAGGTCTGAGAATCGGCTACTATCTATTTTTATACCCCTAAGTGTTTTTCTGTACGGGTTTTTCTCTCCTAATATTATTTTATTTTTTGGTCATTTTTTTAATTTTATTTAAATGTGGTATTAACAAATACATACAACCCTAAAATTTCACCCTTCTATGATTAACCCCTATTTTTTTAAAGCGATTTCAATTTATATGGCAAAACAACGCTTCACTGACCCGTCAAGTGTTGTTTTAGTAAGCTAGTTAGTTAAAAGATAAAAAATAAAACGAACAGTAGGCGAGGTAGACTTTTTCATCCTCCTCCAAAACTTCTAATTCTTAATGAATTTATATTATTTTGTTTAATTCCACTACAATTACCAATGAATGAAAATTTTGGGTAAAATTAATCAACTTAACTATGTAATATTTAAAATAATTTCATATTTAATGATACAAGTTTTTTTTATACATAATACATTAACACAAACAATCATTGTACTCCAACACGGCACATCGAGGCAGCGTACCCAAGATACTGGCAGCGTTGCCTCTTTGAATGGCCGCACTTAGCCTTTGGGCAAAGTAGCTACCAGCTCTCTGAATTTTATATTATTTTGTTAAATTCTGGTACCATTAGCATATCTGCGACCACAAACCGCAAACCGCAGTCTACCTTCTCAAATGTTGATAAATTTCAACCGTCATTGAGCCTACATCCATATTGCGACACGTATTTGGCCTCTGAATAAGACATCATCACGCATTAACTAGAGTTCGGGTATATCTTGGAGTCTAATGTTGATTGTTCGGAGACCAAACCGTGGCAACAGAAGATTACGAAGTTACGACATATTATTATCAACTGACTGTTTTCTGTAAATTAATTCATTTCATTTACAGCAATTGCATTCATATTCGCAATGTTGGCGATGGTGACGCTGACTGACGCTAGAGTGGCCTGTATTGCCCTGTATGACCCTGTTTGTGGTATTAATGGGGTAACATACAGCAATATGTGTTGGTTAGTATTACTTATTTAAAATTTTATTCACGGCTGGTGGTCTAGAGGTTTAGCACACTAGCTTGGTTCCGATGGTAGCGGGTTTGGATTCCTAGCACAATAATTTTGCATTGAACTTATGTTTTCTATGTAGGACCAGTGTTTACCAAAGCGGAGGCTGTTCCACAGGGTTCTTTTATTTTTAAAGGGAGGAAATTCGAAAACATGCGCGACACCCATTCGCTTCGGGTCATTTAAATGCAATATTAGATTTGGTTGCCAAAAGTAATTAAAAGAAGCAAATTCTTATTGAACTTTTACTAAATTAAAATTTAGAAAAATCTATATTGAAGTTAACTGAAATTTTAATTTCAGTTTTTCAATAGATACGAATCTGGATTTAATTTACGGAATTAATATATATATATATATTGGTAGAAATTAATTTTAAAATATATATTTTAAAAATGTATTTAAGTACTTCTATCACTTGTTTTTATGCATAGTACCTACAAGTTATGTTTATGTTATGTTATATGTTATATATATACGCCTTTATTTGGCGTTATGTGTACATATATGTGTGATTATATGTTATTAAACTATTTATATTACACATATAATAAAGATTACAAATATATTGATATGCTCCGTGAGACTAATACGATAGTACAACACCATGCTTATAGACTTAGACAAGAAGGTGGTTAACAAAACTTCACAGCTAAGAGACAGATTTTAAACTCAATTGCTAAGATAATAAGGGTTTTTTTAATTTAATACAAACTTTGAATTAAACTCTTTAAAGATAACAAACATGGAGTACATTGTTACAAATAAATAACATTGTCCTTCAATTTTACAGGTTAAACGCAGCTGGTGTGCCGTTGGCTTACAAAGGAGAATGCTGTCATTGATTTGAAATAAATATGTGAAGAAAAAATAAAATATATTTTATTGTTAATGTATCGTATATATAATTAGACTTTTCAGTTACCATCGAGTTAGATAATTTGTGTAATATTACTAATATATTTTGAAATTAAGACATTTTACGCCTAACTATATTCTTCTCTTTGATCTTAAAAATATAAAGTTACTAGCCATCTCTTCCGGCTTCGACTGATGCATTTCAAATCTTTGAATATCTCGGCTTATACTATTCTATGTCATGCTATTATACACGTAAACCTTCCTCCTGAATCACTCTATCTATTGCTGAAAACTACATTAGAATCCTTTGCGTAATTTAAAGGATATAAGTGAACAGACAGCGACAGCTTTCTTTTATACTGTGTAAAGATGCGCTGGTGATGCTTCTTATGATGATACTTTCCAAATGAGCGGTAGATTAAAGAAATAAGTATTCAAAAGTGCTTAAATGCAAGTTTATTTCAATGAAGAATTTTCTATTTCATCCTACTTAGTACTAAGATCTGAATATATGGATATAAACAGAGAAACAATAAATAAATTCTAATTTTATATATAGCTGTTTGAGTGGAGGCTCTGGCACAGAAGCTCCACCAAACATCTTGCTGTGTAAAATGTGTGAAGAATGAGAAATGACAGTTAGCTATGATTATGATTGAAAAGGCATGAGTTGTCTGATACCATGGGCCTCTAATAATGACGCGATTGCATTGTAAATTGATATAAATACATACATGGAAAACACCCAGATCGATTCAAATAATCATACTCATGAAAACAAATGTTTGTACACCATGCGAGGAATAGAATTTTTTAAATCTACCGCTCATTCGGAAAGCTATCTCCATCACAAAAAGAATAAGCAAGAAACTTGTGTGTTGATCTTTTAAACAATCCTTGTAAGTTCACAATGTACAAGTCGAAACGTGTGAATACAAAGTACCAACCAGCACTCATTTATTTAGGCTCAAATATAAAAACACAATAAGATTAAATCAGTCGTAGTGATAAGAGCAGACTAGTCCTTACAAGCAGCACTCGTTCACGAGTATGACGGATGAGCCAGCCATCACTGCCCTCGACTACATTTTAGGGAGCCCAATGACCCGGCCCACCACGCCGCCACATGTCTGGACATTTTAGTGACCATGACTACTCATTCCACTCGACCTCATCATAGCTACTTAAGACGGTGTATTAAAGCGTTGACTACTGAAGCTGTCTATGAATGTGAGGACATGTATATACGGAACCCCTTAGTAAATTTTGATATTTGACACCAACGAGCGATGTAAAAACAAATTGTACACAATAATACGAGTAGATACAGCTGACACTCTAAGTGAATAATATAAATATTTACCTTTGTCAGGGTGGAGTATAAAAAGACTAGATATATATAGTGTACTTAATGTGAATAATTTCATCTACCATGATGTACTTTTACGGTGAGTTTATTTATATCATTATATTGTATTTCATATATAGTGAGTAGAGAGATATATTTTTTTTCGAACTGCTTTGCTGCTGCTGTTGGCCGCAGCTGGCCTTGACAGCCAGGTATTTTCACAAATATTCAGTGAGGAAACCTGACCACCTCTACTAGAAGTGTTATAATCTTGTACATTCTCTTCTTTATCTTCTTCTTTTCTAATCGTCATGCACATCGCTTTACTTCAGATGCAAAACATTTGTATTCCTGAGTATGATTGTTTGTATCGGTCTGGATATTTTCTATGTATAATATGTATTTACGAAAAAAAATGTATCTATATATTTGTATCAGTTATCTAGTACTCCTAACACAAGCTTTAGTTAGCTTAACTTGGGTCTAGATGGCGCCGTGTGAATTGTCCTGAGATTATTATTATTATTGGTAATCAAATTCCGATCGTTACTGAATCTATACTCATATTGTTATACTCGTTTCGTGAATACAAATGTTTGTACTGTGCGAGAAATCGAACCCACGACCATCTGATAGTAAAGCGGTGTGCTAAACCACTAGACCACCGAGGCTGTCAAATAGTAGTATTATTAGTTGTGATATGATCTTGGTTTATGAGTTAGTCATACTCACTTACATGTCTAGACTGGCGGTGACATAGTGGAACTGGACATTGGAGTCCGTATAATATGGTTGACAATGTTATACTCGTGAACAGGTGCTGCTTGTAGGGACAGCTCTGCTCTGATAACTATGACTGGTTTATTTTGTTGCTCAAGTAACCGTTTAGCAGATTTTCTTATTAAACAAAAATCTTAAAAATGAAATTCTTACACACCAACATTTATTTAAGCTACACAAAAAAAGACAAAAGAGTAAGGTACTTGACCATTCTATTTTTTCTTGATATGAGTCAGTGTTCCAAATGAGTGGTAGAATAAAAAAAAATTGACTATTCCAAAGTGCTTATTTCATAAAGATTATTACTATTTCTAAATTGTACCTTGTATAATCTGTAAATAGTAGATATATATTTAATTTTTTTTTTAGCTATAATGTTTCTAGTAGCAGCGTTTCTGCTAACTAACGCTGCCGGCGCTTGTTCTAATCAGTGGGATCCTGTCTGTGGTGTAGATGGAGTTACATACAGCAATGTATGCTGGTAAGTATTTCAATCAACTACCTTACTAACAACAATAGCCCTGGACAGTTCACACAGCGCTATTTAGTCTCAAACCTATGTAGGTACTAAATAGTTGTTATACTAAAAAATTGTCTTATTTACAAAATAAGAGCCTATATAAAACTGATAGATATATTTAAATACAATTATGTAAATACATACTTAATTCATACATTTTATATATATAAAATACCTCGACCAGACGATGATGGATAAAAATGTTTGTATCGTGCGAGGTATCGAACCCTCTACAATCGAAAGTAAGGCGGAGAGCTAAACTGCCAAGCCAACTAGAATATAAAATTATGATGTAAAAGTATAATATATATACATAGAAGCTACAGATGATACAGACAGAATATATACATAAACAGACACTCTAATTTTATTTATATAATATCTATACATATAAATAAAATTACAGTGTCAAAATAGAAATAAAATCAGTGTGTAAAATTTATAATACTGAAATAACCGTTTTTTACTACATGCATATAAATACGGTACATACACCAAAATAACATTTAATACAATTTTTGTCCATCTGTCTGTATGTCTGTGTGTCCGGCTAATCTCTGAAATGGCTGGACGGGATTTTTGGCAGGTAGCTGATATAATAAGGAATAACTTAGGCAACTTTTATTTTAGAAAAATTCTTTTATATTAGAAAAATAAAGTTAAAATAAAGTCGAAGGAACAGCTTGTTTATTAATATAATTAATTATCAAATGTATTAAAATAATATATAAATATACAATGTATAATATACTATATTTTTTTTTAAGGTTAAACGAGGCTGGAGTCGATTTGGATTATCCAGGCGAATGTAGAAAATAAAATTAAGTATAGAAAGAACATAATCTTGTAATAAACGTCCGAATAAATAAAAACAATCAACATATCGTAATATTGTTTTAATATACTATTAAATTGTCTAAAAAACATTTCATTATTAAATCATAAATTCTAAGTAAACGTTGCTTCAATTCTGAGATAAATCAATTGACTCACAAGTTCTTACTCGTTTTTATTGCAATACAGCATTCCGAATGAGCGACAGATTAAAAATGTAATGACTATTCAAAAGTGTTTCAATGTAAGTTTATTTATATAATAAATGTTCTATTATATTCAAATGTTACTTATATATTATAATTATAAATATCACTAAACTGTGTGTGCTACCTAACACCAAGTATATAAACTGTGACATCAAGACCGACAAACAATATAAAAAAAACTTGCACGCAATATATCAAACGGTACAACTGATAAAATATGTGAAAAATAAAAGTAATTTCCTTTGTTGTGTTGAAGTATAAAAGGAGTAATATATGTTTATCGTTTCTAGTGCGGATAATTTGCATTAACTATGATGTACTTTTACGGTGAGTTTATTTACTTCTATATCATTACATAGTATAAAGTCGCTGTCGCTGTCTGTCCCTATGTATGCTTAAATCTTTAAAACTACGCAATGGATTTTGAAGCAGATTTTTTAATAGATAGAGTGATTCTAGAGTAGGTCGTAGAGTAAGGGTTATATATAATAATAATATTTTAATATTTTAAAAGTACATCAAAGTTTTGAGGAAGTTAATTCTTTTCTTTCTTTTTTTTATTGGAACTAAAAATAAAAATAAAAAAAAATATATATATATAATATTTTACAAAGTAGGGTAGTGATAACAGCCACATTAGTAAGTAATACTGTGTAGTGGCCGTCAACGCCCTCCTCCTATATATATACCTCACACATGTACACCCGAGCGAAGCCGGGGCGCGTAGCTAGTTCTAATATATAAAATTCTTGCGTCACAGTGTTAGTTGCCATACCCCATGGAATCGGCTCAAACGATTTTGTTGTAATTCTACATATATGTATACTCAGTATGTCTGAGAAAAGATTCTTATCTAATTTTTATATCTAATGATAAGGGTGGTCCACCCCAAAAATATTCTTTTTACAACCCTAAATTTTCATGGTTCAACTATCAATAATTATGTTTAATAGCGATAGTATGGTAAACCAACCTTTGTTGAGTCAGATAGTATACTCGTATATATGAAACAGTTAATTTATATATAAGAGGATATATGTCCATATATATCCTCTTATATATATGTTATTATACAATATAGTAGCTACCCGCCCCGGCTTCGTACGAGTGTACATATATAATATCTTTAAACCTTCCTTTTGAATCACTCTATCTACTGCTAAAAATGCATTAAAATCGGTTGCATAATTTAAAAGTTCTAAGTGAACAGACATTGGCAACGACTTCAATACTGAATACTTAATATTTGTCACATTCGAGATATTATTATTATTATTATGTTGTTTACTGTAATAATATAATAATAATAATAAT